ATCTATCTATCTATCTATCATCTATCTCCTATCTACTTGGATAACCAGGCAAATAAATGAATAACCAAATTAAATAAACAAAACTATCAGAGAAAGGATTTTGTGCTTCGTCAGGAAGGGCCAGTCCATAAGAAGAATGTCAACAAGATAGACTGACACCATGGCTGGAACAACGAGAGCCGGCATGTCGTGTCTGTGTCATGGATCTAGAGGACAGTAGGGCAAGGTTCTGATTATTGTTTATAGGGTTGCTCCACAGGTGAAGGATGGGCATTCTCCTCCCATGCAGCCTCTAGAAACCCACTGGAGGGTCAGTTATGGGTCGGTTCCAACTCGATGGTACCCAACAACAACATGAGGGATAGTCAACTGAATGTCACTAAAGAACAACAACATCTCAGTTAAGGCATTTATGAATTAATCTTCTCAATAATCCTGATCTTTTCCTATGGAGAAAAACTAAAAAGCCATCATGCTGTGAAAGCAGATGGATTAGTGAGAGAGGAAGACCCCAGACAAAGATTGTCACAGACATTACAGTAATGGACTTGAGCAAGGGGGGGATCAAGGTGATGATGCAGAACAGGGCTGGGTTCTGATTGTGTTCATAGAGTTGCTATGAGTCATAATTTCCTCAATGGCATCTAACAATAACTGGTAAAATGTTCATAAACTGGGTAGTGGTTACTGGAGGGGAAAAATTAACTGTGTTGCAATCAATTAATTTTATTTCTTTCACATGTATAGTTTGTGTAATTACAGCAACAGTTACACCTGAAACAAAAGGGGGAAAATGTGCTTTTATTTAAGGCATAACATGCTTTTAGGACTTTTGTGTTATTCTTAACTCTGTTCTGTATGAAATATAGATGGACCTACCTGTGAAATTTTCTCAGTGAAGGCTGGTTTGCTAGGGGCCTTGACTTTTGGCAATTACGAATGTTCCATGCTGCTTCCTTGTATTTTCTGTGTTTAGCTAGAGAGATTGAAAGCTGAAAATACCTTGGAGTGGGACAAGAGGGAAATACTTGAAACAGAAAAACAAGTGCTGGAGCGAGAAAACAGACGGCTGAAGGCCCAGGTGCAAGCCCTGGAAGAGCTGTTGGACAGGAGAAATAAATTAAGTGCCCTCTCTCAAGGTCCTGATTTCAAGACATCACAGATGGAGCTGGAGGGAAAACACAAGGTATGAGTTCCTTTTGTAGCCTAAGTTCCTCCTGCTCTGACTTCCCTCCCTTGTGCTCAGCTGATGTCGAGCTGCCCTAACCTTTATGCGTCTCCAATCTTATGTAGTCCTGCACTGTACCACGTGCCTTTGGGTAACAATCACAAATATGCCCATGGTCTCATCAGATTAACATAGAATTCAGAAATCCTACTCTGAAAAAAACAAAAATAAAAGAACAACAATCCTAAAAAAAAAAAAAAAACCAAGAAAAGAAAAGAAAAAATCTTACTCTAAACATAGGACACAGCAGACATTACAGGAAGTGGGAACACAACAGCTTCCTACAGGCAACACATGCGAGCTCGTGTCTCTTGTATGTGAAACAATGGCATTTTCAGGAATGTAACAGCACATAAATAATCTGACAGCAGAATCATCAATGCCTTTGAGCTGTGGTGCTGGATAAAAGCACTGAACATCCCATGGTCCATTAAGAGAATAAATAGGTCTGTCCTGGAGAGGGTGACACCAAGTTGCTCTTTGAAGGCAAGGATTTTGAAGCTCCGTTTCACATACTTTAGGCATGTTGCCAAGAAGGGACCGGTACTTGGAGAGGGACATCATGCTTGGAAGGTGGAGGGACAGTGCAGGTGGGGAAGGCCCTCTATGAGATCAGTTGACACAGTAACTGTGGTAATAGGGGTAGGTGTGTCAGAGACAGTGAGATTGGCTCAGGACAGGTCAGGATTCAGAGATGTAGTGACTACGGTCACTGTGGGATGCAGTCGACTTGATGGCACCTAACAACAGTCTGTATACAGATGGATTGATCATCTTAGTATTAACATTTGTGGTGGTATTGTATGACTCATAGGGACCCTATGAACAAATGATCTGAACCCTGTTCTATCCTGTACCATCCTTACACTTCCTGACACACAAGAGTCCATTGCAGCAGTCAGTGTGTCACACCATGTAGTTGAGGGTCTTCCTCTCCTTCACCGACACTTTAACCTTTCTAGCATTGTGTCCTTCTTCAAGGAATGGCCCCTCCTAGCAACATTCAGTCTTGCCTCCAAAGAACACACAGAATACACACTTTCTAAGACATTTCTGCTCGTTCCCTTGGCCGTCCGAGGGATGTTCAGCTCTCTTCTCCTGCACGCTAGGTTCTGATTGCTTAAATCTGTGTTACTGATTTACATATGTGTTGTATTATATTTAATTAAAAGTAAGCTTTTTAGTATGGGGTTCTAAAACATAATGCTGCATGTTTCTAGTCTGAGGAAGCCATATCTAATCTATGTTCAATGCATCTTGAGTACTGTAGCATTTTCTGTTTAATTTTATTTCAAAATGATTGCCATAAAGTACGTTTTGGCCCCAAGTGAAGCAAACAAGTGCTAGTGACAGCAGTAAAAAAGACACAAAGGATGAGGTATCAGTTAGAAAGGGAAGCAAGAGGTTATTAAACAGAACCATGACAGAGTCAATGAATGCTGTCGACTCATTTAGACACATTTGCACATCTAAATCACAAGCCATCTTGTTTGACAGAACGTCTCATGGATGTTGAGTGGTACATTTCTGTATTCCCCTTTGTGATGTCTAGTAACTCATTATTTTCCCTGCTGTGATAGAAAATGATGCTCACACGTTTAGAAGCACAGTGTGACACAGTTTGGCTGGATGTGTAATGACAATTCGGTCAGTTTCATGATTTTCTGGAAGGAAGAGAAAAATACAGCAGAGGACAGATCAATCTTTATGTGTTCAGTTTCTTGTTAGAAATTGTTACTTTTTATTGTGGTTTGTTGAAATTTACCAAACAATTTCATTTTCCATTCACCCATTTGTGCATGCTTTGTTTTATGACATTGGCCACAATCCCTACGTAATGACAACGCTCATCCTGTTTCTTCCCTTCTTGTCGTTAGGTGCTGTCAGGTCAAGTATGAATCACAGCAATCCTATGAACAACAGGTCTGAACCCTGTCCTATTCTGTGTCCTCCTCACAATCCCAGACAGCCTCAGGTCCACGGCTGCAGTCACTGTGCCAATCCACCTGGATGAGGCCCTTCCCCTTTGCTGTCCCTCTGCCTTCCAAAGTGGGATATCCTTCCTCAAGGAATAGCCCTACCTAGCAACATACCCAAAGTACAGGAGATGAAGCTTCATCATTTTTGCCCCCCAGAGACACTCTGGTTGCACCTTTTCCACAACATTTCTGCGTCCTTTGACAGTCCAGGAGATAGTCAGCACTCCTCTAACACTACACTCAAAGGCATCCATTTTTCTTTTGTCATCTTTAGTCGTTGTCCAGTTATCAGATGTATGTCAAGTGACTGAGAAAGACCATGGGCTGAATCAGGCACATCTTCACTCTCAGATAACATCATCATCGATCCTCAGTACTTTGGAGAGGTTGCAGACTGCACACGTGACTAGTGCAGTATGTCTCCTGACTGCTGGTACCAAACATATTGATTGTGGGTCTACGTAAGAGGAAGTCATTGGCAGTCTCAATCTTTTCTCCATCTATCATAATGTTTCTATTGAGTGGCGAGGATCCCCTGGCTAGGATTTTTGTTTTCTTGACATTGAAATACAGTTCACAATGAAGGCTATGTTCTTTCATCCTCTGAAGCAAGTGTTTCAAGTCTGCCACACTTTCAGCAAGCAAAGTTGTGTTGTCTGGATACCAAAGGTTACTGATGAGTCTTCCTCCAATCCTGATGGCACATTCTTCTTCATTCCTCTGATGAATTTGAGTCTCTGTAGGACCTTCTAGAAAACCTTTTTACTGACCTCAAATGTGCATAAAGAAATTAGGAAACTGAGCCACGAATGGAGCTTTTAATACCGGACATTATGGAGTCATATCACAAGATGAGCATGTACAATAATGTTGACCTGAGGCTTCTGATTAATAGTGTTATCAATCATAGCAAGTAATAATGAAAACAAGAGTCACTGGTGCACAACAAGAGCATCCTTACTCCTATGCATCCAGTTAGTCTACCTTTTCCTGTCTTATGAGTTTTCTACCTGGACACACACTGTCCTTTCAATCTTAGGTGATTGAGTGTTCTAAGAGTGAGTACCTCTCTCTGATATTGTTGTGATCTTAAAACTTGAGCCAAGAAAAAAGAAAAAAAAAAAGAAAGTAGATTTAGTTCCTGGCTGAAAGAATGATTAAGGACTGTATTTCTGAGGGTCCCACCAGTCTGTATCACACCAGTAACTCAGCTATTTCAAAAATTGGACAATGATTAGGGATGAAAGAAGAAGAAATGATGCTATTGAGCTGTGGTGTTGGAGAAGAGTATTGAATATACCATGGACTGCAAAAAGAACAAACACATTCATCCCAGAGAGGGTGAAACCAGGTTGCTCCTTGGAAGCAAGGATTAAGAAATTTCATCTGACGTACTTTGGACATGTTGCAAGGAGGCACCAGTCCTTGGAGAGGGATGTCATCCTTGGGAGGGTAGAGTGACAGTGCAGGAGAGGAAGAACTTCAATGTGATGGATTGATTTGGTGACTGGGGTAAATGGGTGTAGGTGGGTTGGAGACAGTGAGATTGGCACAGGAAAGAGAAGGGTTTAGGACTGCCATACACAGGGCTGCTATGAGTCACAGACATCTCAGCACTACACAACAACAACAACAACAAGAAGAACATTTTTAGTTCCAGAGTTTTCTCCTCTATCCAGAACTCTAGGGGGATCTTTTTTCACAGTTGTCTTCTGGGCATCATCTTGTTCTTGTTTCAGGATTACAGAGGCTGAGGTTTGCATGGCTCATTAGAACCTGGACTGTTTCATTGTAGCTTTGATTTCCACCCTCCTCTCTCACCACGCTCTTCTTTGTTCTGTACAGGACAAGACTAATAATTTAACTTTAGATGCCCATTCACAAGACTTCAGACCAAGCCACTACTCATCAAAGTTAAGTTGTAGAACATCATCCGTGTAGACTGACTTTGTACTAATTGATCTTGACATCTTCTGAGGTGGTGGCGGTAGGTCCATACCTTTACCTTTACCTCTGTTTGTTCCTGTTTTCTTAGAAATAAATCTTATTTCAATAAGTATATTTTCTCATTAACTTGAGCAATTGCACAGCAAGTGCCTCTTCTGTAGCTATGGTAAATATCTTCATAAACATTTAAATTTAGCTGAAGCTTACTGTTCTCTAGTTTATTTTTAGTTAGTCTCTGAACAATTATTTTGAGTTAATTAAGTACATCACTTTGCAAACAGCTTTTATAGACCACAACATAAATATTAGGCCAGAATTAAATTAAGAATTTAACTTGGAAATTTAGACTGCTTTGGAATTGTTTTATCTTCAAGGCAACAGACATGGTTAAAGTTGTGGATATTTTTTCAGTCAATAGTTTTTTTCAAATTTTCTCTCAGTAAAGTTTTATAGTTGAATTACATATTTTATAAGAAATATGTTTGCCTTTAAGCTGTGGTGTTGAAAAGAGAACTGGATATCCCACAGACTGCAAAAAGAACAAACAGATCTGTCAGACAGGACAACCAGAATGCTCCTTGGAGATAAAGCTCTGTCTCACACACTTTGGGTGCATTGTCTACTCCTCGGAGAGGGACATCATAGCTTGAAAAAGTGGTGGCTTGGAGAAAGAGAGGAAGCCGAATGAATCGACAGAGTGACTATAGCAATCAGCTCAAGTGTGTCCGAAATGATGAAAATAGCATAGAATAGGACAGGTTCAGATGTATTGTTTATAGAGTTGCTATGAGAAACAGACACCTCGATGCCCCCTAACAATAACAACAACATGTATATTTAGTGTTTCTTTATTATACAGCATGCATTTCGTCTATTTTGCTCAGGTAAAGTAAGTAATTAAGTAAAATAGCTGTATCTTCATGTGTTAAGCTCTAAAATGAAATGATGAATAAAGAAAGAATTCAGTGTTACTTTTATATTTCTAGGAGTTTATTGCAAACACAAAATTGAATTACTTTGGCATTTCACAAT